GTCGTACATACCTGCGATTGTCTAGATATAAGTAATTTACAATTATTGATTTTGTTTGCAATTAAATTATGTTTTAATATTAGTTTTGAAATAAATCTATATCTTTTATGTTTTTGGTGCATGCTATTATTTTATAATATTTTCTAAAACTTGCGGTCATATTTCTATTTTATCATAAAACAATCAAGTCTATAGCTCGATTAGTTTATAATCTACGGTGATGTTACTAATAGTAATATTTAATGGTTGCTGATTTTTGTTTTTTTTTCTTGAAATAAAAAATGTCTGACCTACATAGGTACTAAAAAATATCTAAGTTGCCGATTTATATAACTACTTATTTACATAATACCTATAGGGTCTGATTTGGTTCTGCGCCAATTTTTATCATCTCGAGCAATAAGCAACTTTTGTTAATTTTGCTCTACTAAAAACTAACACGCACACCCGAATCCGACTTGAATATCTCTTAATGCGGGTACAGATCTGAGCACGTACGCGTGTGAAGCAAGCCGAGGCCGAACCGAATGCCTCGTGCAACGCATTTTGTATACACGAATGGTGGACGCTCGAGGCGCTGTTCGCCACTGATCCAGTAAATTCGCGAGCACGCAACCGTATACCCAGAACATTAGTAAAATTAAAACAAAAATGTTTTTCTTTGAAAATGTTTCTACCTTATACTACTTGACATTATCAAGCATTACTTGCAATTACCCTAAGAATTACCGAAGTAATTCCATATTTCAACACAAATGTACATTTTCCTAGTGAGTAGTTGAAAGACCGTTTTTTAAATAAAAAAGATTGCTTATATCGAGAAATGAACCCTGGTTGTGAAATCCAAAGTTAGGCGCGCTAACCAACCGGACCGCATTTTTCCGTTTACTATACGAGTAGCGCTATGCGGAGCGCTACTCGTCGTACAGTAAACGTAGAATATTATTATTATTATTATTATTTTTTGCAATGCCTATGCGAGTGACGCACATCTCGTGAAAATACACTATGGAGCGTTGGTAATTGTTGCATCATCTTTTTTAATGGATTTTCGCTCGATCCTCCTGTTGGACGACTAGATTCGATGCATTATTGTTTTAGTCTTCATTTCAAATTTAACAGGCACACGCAATGTTGCTTCATCATTTTAGTCTCCATTTTAAATTTAACGTGTTCAGCCTGAAACAAGTATGGAAACAATAATAGCAAAAATTCCTAGAGAGTATAAAATTATCCATAATTCTGAAGGCATCAACAAGAAGCTTACGCTACGAGGGAAATTTCAACTAGACAATAGTTACAGCAATCAATGCGATGATTTTTAAAACATTTTTCCTTGGAAACTTGTACCCATTGGATTGTTTTTAAAACATATTCCAACCTCCAAAAGTTGGATTATCGGAAAGATTTCGCGTGTCAACACAACAAAAAAAAACAAAGAAAGGAAAAATGATAGTACCAGAACCCGAAATTTATTAAAGTAAAGAAAATAAACCGGTGTTCGAAATATAGAGATTCTTTGTTAAAGGAGGGCTGGAATGGTTATTGAGGTAAGAGTTTTATTTCATTATAAAATATTAATTATTTAATCAGGGTAAGTCCGGGTGAGATGCCCCACCGGGATAGATGGCAAAGTGCCGCTATTCGGCTAGGCGATAACAGATGGAGCTGCCGATACGCCAGTTCGTCATTTAATAACACATCTCAATAAGTAAAAGAGTACTGTGTCAATAGTGTATCATAAAGGTGAGTTATCAAGTTTAAAATATTCTAAACAGGTTTGAAATTGTTTAGATAAATATATAAATGTTTGTACATTTTTAATGCTGTTAAGAGGTGATTTAAGTAGAGTTTGTTATGGTATTTTAAGGTTATGTAATGGGCTATTCGTAAATCCAATAGCTCACGTAGTTTCTTAAATATAGGGTGGGGCATCTAACCCGGTATTTGGGATAGATGGCACACTGTTAGTCGGGTAAGATGCCTCACTATATTTAATAATAAACATTGAAATAAAATTCAAAAACATGGTCATTCTCTATGTTATAAATATTTATTATTATATGTTTTTAGATGCCTACGAAATATATTAGAAAACCAGGTTCCACAAGAGGTTCTTGGTCGGAAGATGCTCTTCAGCGTGCGATAACCGCAGTTAGAAATGGCATGGGAATAAACTTGGCTTCCAAAACTTTTAATATACCATCAAGGACATTACGGCGTCGGGTGCAGTATAATGACGCATCAAAAAAACCTATGGGGCCAACAGGAACTTTAGGAATGGCTAATGAGTCGAAGTTAGTAGCTCACATCAAAAAGCTACAAAACAGAGGATTTGCTCCCACTCGAGATGATTGAGGACCATGGCATATGAATTTGCAGTTAAACTTAAATTGAATCATAGGTTTAACCATGAGAAAGAAAAAGCTGGTTACGATTGGTTAAATTTGTTTCTGTTACGTCACCCAGATTTGTCTGTGAGAAAGGCTGAAGGAGTTTCCGTAGCCCGAGCTGAAGGTATGTCCCGTAAAAAGGTCTTGGCTTATTTTCAGCTATTACATGTAATTCTAGAAGAAAACAACTTATTCGAGTCACCGGGATCTATCTATAATATGGACGAAACTGGGCTACAGCTCAATAATAAAGTGGATTACGTTATAGCCCAAAAAGGGTCAAAAGATGTATCCACAATTACATCTGGAGAAAAGGGTTATCGCATGTTGCAATGCAGAAGGCATTTTTCTAACCCCCGCTTGTGTTTTTAAAGGCAAGTATAAAAAGGATGAATTCCAAGATGGCATGCCAAACGGATCAGTAATTTACAAGAACCAGAAGTCGGCGTATGTAAACTCAGATATTTTTCTATTATGGTTGAAAGATCATTTTCTTCCAAGAAAAGGGGTAGGAAAAGCACTTTTGATCGTCGATGGTCATACATCCCACTGCAGTGCCGAAGTATTACAACTTGCGGAAAGAAATGATATTATTTTATTGTGCTTGCCAAGCCACACTACTCATTACCTTCAGCCTTTGGATCGTGGAGTGTTTAAATCATTAAAATCTGCATTTAACAAAGCGTGTTACCTTTTTATGAAAACAAATCCAAGCCGAAAAATAACTAGATTGCAATTTGGCAGACTATTGGCCGAAGCATGGACAAAAGCAGCAACTAATGATAATGCAGTTTCTTCATTTAGAGCCACGGGAATTTTTCATTATAACCCTGAAGCTGTACCGGAACATGCCCATCATGTTTCTGATGCTGCAGCAGTTTTTGCAATAGGTGCTCTACCTTTTAAAGATAATGAAATAGGTTCTGATTGTGGATTATCTAAACCTCAGTCCAACCAATCTTTAACATTTCAATGTCGAACTTCTGATCCTCAAGCCAGTTCATCTTTAGTACCTGATCGTCAATCTCCTGAGCCTCGACCTGGTCCATCTTCAGTACCAAATCGCCAATCTCCTGAGCCTCGACATGGTCCACCTTCAGTTCCTCGTCAACAGTCACCAAAAATTCAACATTGCTCATCCTCATCATCCGATAAACCTGAATCTGCTGGAAAAATTCTAGAGAATATATCACCCTTGCCTATAATTCCTGTAGCATTAAAAAATCGAGGTAGAAAAGTTGCAACTATATTAACTTCAACCGAAAATATAGAGAAGGCAAGATTATTAAAAGAAAGACTTGCAAAACGTAAAGGTGTGGTACAAATAAAATCTGTTTCAAAACCAATTAAAAGGGCAAAGAAGACCAAGCCTACATTGCCTTCCTCTGAGTCAGATGAAGATTTTGAATCCAAAGAAGACAGTGATAGCGACATCAATGAGGAATTTAATGAGAACGAATGTGTTGGATGTCTGGAAGACTACAACAGCACAAGTCGTTCAGATGACTGGATCCGTTGCATTGATTGCAATCGCTGGATGCACGAAAATTGCACTAAATTTAAAAATAAGTGTGACTCATGTGGGAAATACGGCCGAAAATAATTAAAAGACATTTTTCTGTGTTTCTGTTAATCCAAAGATTTTATTTTAGATTGAGCCATCTATCCCTGACAAGCTGGGAGAGATGGCAAAGTCCTATTTTTAATAAAGAATTATTTTTTCGTTAAATGTTATATAAATTAATTTGTTTGTGTTTAAGAAATGCTTAAATAAACTTTGCTTTTACCGTTGCGTCATTTGTTTTCGACATATAAATTTTGCATTTTGAAAAAAATATTTTTTTCGAATTGTAGGGCATCTCACCCGGAAGTAAAGAACAATAATAATTTATTAGCCTATTTTTTTCACTATTTACGTGCTATTTACCTTTTAAAATACATTTTTTGACAACTTTAAAAAGAACGTCACATTTTACATTATTATATGGACATGCAAAATAGACCTTTTTTCACATATGAAAAAAGTATTAGCGTCGCTCGCATAGGCTTTGTAAAATATTAATATTCTACGTTTACTACACGAGTAATAGTGCTTCGCGTAGCGCTACATAGGAAACGGAAAAATGCAACCGGGCTATGCCAAGTTAATTATTTAATATCCGAGCGCTTCACCGCTGATGCGTCTGCAGCAAAATATTTCCATCTTCTACAAGGCAATAATGAACGGTAAATTTGTAATTTAGTCTTGGGCAAATGTTTACCAAAACAGTGTCACTGGCTCCCTTACGTTCTGTACTATCTTGTTTTGATTTACATAATAATACATAATAAATTTGAAAGATTATTTAGTTTTCGCATTATGGTCGTAAGAAAAATGTAGATATTCATTGGAACGTGTAGTTCCTGTACTTTTTACGTTTCTCTCGTGCGAACCATATAACAGTCTAGGTTCTTCATGTTTTGAACTATCAAAACTTTAAAAAAGTACTTTAGATTTTAATGTGTGAATCCCTTACAAGAAAAACTGTAGTTCACATATTATTTAAATTAGGGATTAGGTCAAAGCATGAAACAACAATATAAGAAAAAAATTTTAATTGTATTAAACTTAATATATACACGTTTATTGCTTTTTCAACTTTTCTGCCTCTTTATCGCCTTTTCCTATACATAAACCTAATAAACCACAAACAATCTTTTTAACAATGTACAGAGATACAAATATCACAGCTAAAATTGTTGCAATTACATCCACCAATAAGTATTCGTACCAGGTTAAATTTAAATAATTTACCCTTAAATTTTTGGCCCCGTTATGCCTGACGATATATTCTACCCAATAAATAGCATCATCTAAAGGCTTCACCTGCCTATCATGGAAGAGTTTCGATCTATATTTTACGTTTTCGAGGTATCTGAAATAAAAAAAATACAAAATTACACAGTATTTAAGTACGAGATGTACTTCATGGAATCAGTTGTGGAAATTTCAATCGTTGGCAAGGCCGTTGCAACCATATATGCAGGTCGTGCGGTGCACGACGGCGTCGAGACGCAAAAGGCACCAAAGACATTTTTTTTAATTTTTATTGAGTATTAAAAAGTAGTTAGAAGGATTAGGCCCATTTGAGCCATATAATTAAAATTATTCACGAGTAGGTAATAATATCTAAATGAATTATATATAAAATGTATTATTAAATTATCTTTAGAGTCAAACATGACTTCTGTAAGTTTCTTGGCCATGGCCTAGCGCGTATTTCATTCTATTACTAAGCGCTGTGCGCTCTTACTATATTTTCTTGTTCCTGTTTTTAAGTAGTATATTTCTGTCGTCTGGCCAACCGGTGTGAAGTTAGTAGCCAAAAACTGGTAGCCCGTTTACCGAGTACTCCCGAACAATACAGTGGCCCGTTAAAAAGGGCAATACATACGTTTATTTCAATTTTATGTGTTAATTGAAAATTGAGGTCGTTTGTATTTTAAATGTTATTTTCCTTATATAAATAAATAAAAAAAATAAATACATGAAAAATAATACATTCATAATGACATGCTAACAAATTGTCTACAATAACTCCATAACTAGACATACTATCAAGTTCATATTTTAAACAGAAACAGAATTTACAGTACCACTATTATATATATGTCAAGACTTATTATTTTTAAAATATTAATTTGATAGTATGTCTAGTTATGGAGGTATTGTAGATAATTTGTTAGTAGACTATTTATCTTTAGAGTCGTTTTATATCCTTTTATTTTTTTCCTACGGCTTGCGATGAATTGACAGTATCACTATTACATATAGATATGTCAAGACTTATTCTGTTTAAAATATGAACTAGATAGTATGTCTAGGTATGGAGGTATTGTAGATAATTTGTTAGCAGACTTGTTATCTTTAGTGTTTTTTATTTTTCTTATTTTTTTCTACTCTTTGACGGCTTGCGATAAATTGACAGTACCACTATTACATATAGATATGTCAAGATTTATTCTGTTTAAAGTATGAACTTGATAGTATGTCTAGTTATGGAGGTATTGTAGATAATTTGTTAGCATACTATTTATTTTTAGAGTTGTTTTATATTCTTTTAATTTTTTCCTACTTTTTGACGGCTTGCGAAACATTAACAGTTACTTTTTCAGTGTGGCTTATGAATAGATTAAATCGTGTTAAAATATCAACTTGATAGTATGTCTTGTTTTGGACTTATTTAAGATTCTTTGTTGGCCGCGATATATCAAAATCTTAAAAAGACCAATTTTTAATTTCTCTTGAATACAAATTTTCCTAAATCTGTCTTATTATCTATTTTTTGGTTAATATTTTTTTTAAATGTTCTTACTTCTACTGTTTATTTAATAATTACCGCAATATTTATTTAATAAAATGTATTAACCTGGAACCGTCGCCACTGTTTATTCGGGTTCCTTCGCCATTTTGGCTGCTAAGTTTGGTCTGCTAAGTTCACACCAGTAGATAATAAAGTATAAGTCTAAAGTTAAAATTGAGGTAAGCAATATTATGTACATCCTAATAATTCGTAATTATAAACTAATTCGATTCTACAAACCCCGACCCGAAAATGTAATGTATCTAAAGAAGCTAAAAGCAACTTTCTGGTTACCAAAATCTAATTAACAAACGTAAACGGAAGATTTTGAAAAATACCAATAAGAAAATTAGATAGTTTTTTAAAGACCCCATTGCTTCTACTCAAAGACTGGTAAAAAATTATATTAATAATTATAAGGAACCATCGACATTATGTTTAGTCGAGGAAACTGTAACTCTTATCGAAGCTGTTGAAGTTTTTTATTGTAAGACTGTCTAAAGATACAGGTTTGTGGCCGAAAATATTGTCTCCAATGAATATCGAAATTCTGATAAAAAAATGCTCAACCTATTGTCGCGCAAAAGTCTACCCTGTGCTTTGTTTATTCCTTGCCCGCGGTATGAAATCTAGCAATGTAGAGACAAACGCACTGCTTCTCGAAACTACCGGATTGATCTCTTTGAGGCGAATTAATCATAGAAAGGCAGTTTTCGAACGTTCTGGAAAGCCAAGATAGTTCTAGTACAACGTTAACTTTGTATAAATAGCGTGAGTTGCTGACAGACGGAAGATTCAAACAAAGTGTTGGACAGAAAAGATAAATTGCAATAAATAAATTAGAATTGTGAGTTATAATAGTGGCTAAGTATTATATAAATTAATTAGTACGTCATAAATAAATTGTAAATAGTATGTTGTAAATAAATAAACTATAAATAAATTAAACAAACGTTACATTGGTGTCCTGTAAATAAATAGTGGACAAAAATGGCAAAAAAACTGTGTAATTTAAAAGCATCGAGAACTAGAGGATCATGATCTGGAGACGACATGGAAAAAGCAGAGCTGGCAGAGCGTCTTAAAGAAGCACTAGAAAGTAAAAGTTTGGATTCGGTAACGCATCTATTTCCCGATAATGCGTTTTCTATAATTTCTTCTTCGGAAAGTAAAATGTCTTCCATGGAAATCAAAGTTTCGTCTTCTATGAAAACTGAAATTTTTTCTGACATTTCTTTCTTAGACAATATAAAGTTTTTTCCTTAGAAGAAAATGTGTCTTCTCACATATGTTCTTTAAAAAACGAAATTCCCTCTAATTTGGAAAGCAAAATCTTTTCTTTAAAAGATAAAATTTCTTCTGATATGTCTTCACTAAAAAATGAAATCTCTGATGTGGAAAACAAGATGTGTTCTGTACAGGAGAAAATAAAACAGACAGAAAAGAAGATAGAAGAACTGGAACATTCAGACCCGGCCAAGGACGGTGAAATAAAGTACTATGAAGTAGAGTCAAAGTTGAAATTGGAAGGACCTGTAAATTCTGCTCATGTTAAAGCCCAACTTTCGAAGGGAATATCATGGACGAACTATCTTAAATAGTTAGAAACGGCTGCCCGAGCAAACGAATGATCTGAACGAGAAAAGGCAGTACATTTGACCATCGCTCTTTGAAGAGACGTTTTAGATATTCTTTAAAAAAACCTGTGGAAGAGACAGATTTTTGAACAACTCAAAAGAGACTAAACATGTGATATGGCCACGAACATTTGAAGCATTTTTACCAGTCACAGTTAAAGAATCGTAAACAGAAACGAGACTACAAGAATATGAAGTAGATATTGCTAGGTTGGTGCGATTTGCTTACCCATTAGCTTCGGAAAACATGATGAAATGTTTGGCAGTCCAAACATTTATTGATGGACTCCATGACCACGAGATGCAGAAAACACTCTGCTTAGCCGGCCACAAAACATTGGTCGATGTTTTGTCCTCTGCTTTAGAATATGAGGCAGCTACGCTGGCTTCTGGTGGACACAGTGAAGTAAGGACTGTAAAAGAAGAAGAAGAACAGAGAAATAACTTGGACCAATTGCTTCATATAAAAAAAACCTTATTGAGAAGCATCCGAAGACTATTAGGTGCTGGAATTGCGGTGAAATGGGAAATATAAGCAGTTCGAGCAAACGCCCAAAGAATACTATGAATCGGAAAACCGTGCCGGTAGCTTAACAGGAAGGAACGGTTGTTGCCTGAAAAAAGTGAAACCATAAGAGTAACGCGGTTGCAAGGAACTGTAGATAAGCAACGCCTGTCATGGTGGAATCTTCGAAGCGCAATGAAGGTGTTGGTTAAAGAATTCTGATTGGAAAGGGGTTGGCCACATCTGCTACAGAATTTACAGTACGAAGAACGTCGGTTATCAGCGATGAGTGAGCCCATATAAAACTTAGGGAAGAACAAGAGAACGATCCCGATTTAAAGAAGATAAGACAATGGAAACAGGAAAATCTTCGACCTACTTGGAAAGAAGATTGAAATTCTCTCCAGTAGTTAAATCATATTGAGCTCAGTGGGACTCTATTATACTGGAAGATGGCTTATTAAAGCGAGTACATAGAAATGATGATGGTTTCGAGAACAGAAGATAGTTGGCCATTCCAAGCCAAAGTACTTCGTCAGTTACCCGATAGTCCATCAGGAGGACATCTCGGTGTTAAGAAAACTTTTCAGAGAGTTCGGGAAAAGTTTTACTGGATAAACAGTTCCGATGATGTAAAGGACTGGTGTAAGAAATGTACCACCTGTGCTATGAGTAATGGACCTCAACGAAAAAGGAAGGCTCCCATGAAGCAATACAACGTTGGTAGTCCATTTGAGAGGATCGTCTTAGATATTCCTGGACCATTCCCAGTGACCGAGGATGGTAATAAATACATTTTGGTGGTTATGTGCAAATGTGTTGATTTGGAGTGCCCTTGGAGATCCACAGTGATCAAGGCAGACATTTTAAACTCTTCCGTGGAATCTGTGACAGACTAGGCATGAAGAAAGTCAAAACTACAGCATTGCTCCCACAATCCGATGGAATGGCAGAGCGAATGAATAAGACCATTGACAAATATCTGTCAAAAGTGGTTTTAAACCATCAGCGAGATTGATATTCGTATCTTTCGCTCTTTGCAATGACTTATAGAACCGCTGTCAATGAATCAATATGCCAAAATGAGCAAAGGTTATGTTTGGGCGTGAGATGAGAGTACCGTGCGATCTCAAGTTTTGATGCTGACCTGGAGAAGACATAGCCGGTGAAGATTATGTGATCCGTCTACGAAGAAAAATGGACGACATGCATGAATTAGTTCGTTTGCATCTTCAAATCGCCAGCGACAGAATAAAGAAGCGATACGATACCCAAGCCACAGAAGGATGTTTCAAAGAAGGCGACAAAGTCTAGCTGCACACAAAACGACAAAAGGCTTTTTCTCTTAAGTTTCAAAGGTCTTGGAAATGTCCGTATCTCATCAAGAAAAAAATCAATGATGTCATTTACCGTATAAGTAAGATCTCGAACTGTAAACCAAAGGTAGTGCACCAAAATCGGCTGGCGCCATTTAAAGGTGACTATGAAGAGGAAGAAGTAAAATAGCTCCAAGGAACACCTGACCTTGTCTTCGAAGAATTTATGGGTGCATATGGAGGTATCGGAAAAGCAAGACATGGTGTTACGACCAAGCAACGACAAGACTTGCTCACGGTTCCTAAAGATTACTCGCTGATCCATAGCACTTCCGCCAACATACATGACGCTCGAGATCTGGCATCTGTATTCCGGAAAAAATTTGGTCGATTGCTAGAACTTCAAGATCCGTTACCAGCCCCTGGAGAAGCATTGGAACTTCAAGATGAATCGCGTTACCTTTTCTATTTGGAACACCTTTCGAGATCGATCCACTTATCATGATGTATGGGAAGCATTACTTAGTCTGAGGGAGCACTTACTGGAGTTCAAGGTACAGAAACTAGCCAGAGAGCAACCAGCTAAATTGAAGAATCATTAGAAACATGCTGGAAGTAATTTTCCAAGAGTCCAGGGTCAGAATACTGCTCTGCAGCCATTCGCACAGGGTCCAGGTTTCAATAAAAACCGTCTCTTGTTACTTCCATGCAACTGTAAATTGTAAAAGAGGATCCAGTTGCAGATTCAACCATTGCGTTTTAGTTCCAGGAGGAACTATCTCTTAAGGAGGGGCAATGTCGCACAAAAGCCTACCCAGTGCTTTGTTTACTCCTTGCCCGCGGTCTTACAATATAGAGACAAACGCACCGCTTCTCGAAACTACCAGATTGGTTCCTTTGTGGTATATTAGTCATAGAAAGGCAGTTTGCGAGCATTTCGGAAAGCCTAGAGAGTTCTAGTACAGAGTTGTCTTTTTATAAATAGCTCGGGTTGTCGACGGATGGAAGATTCAAATAAAGTGTTGGACAGAAAAGATAAATTGTAATAAATAAATTAGAATTGTGAGTTATAATAGTGCCTAAGTATTATATAAATTAATAAGTACGTCATAAATAAATTGTAAATAGTGTCTTTTAAATAAATACACTATAAATAAATTAAATAAACGTTACACTATTATAGCAATTCAAATTGCGTATTTCCGAAAGACTAGATGGGACGAAAATTTTCTGAATCATACTTTACTAGCATTTTGCCAAATAATGATAAATAATGATTGGCTTCTATACTCGGTAGCGAAAAATGCAGTGTTTTGTTTTTTTAACATTGATACTGCAAAGGCCCGATTGACTGATTTTTAATATTCACACAAAAAGTTAAATGCATTTAGAAAATCTTAAGACATGGTCTGGTCTTCCGCGGTCAAAATTTAAAGTTGTTTCAAACTAATAACGGTAATGTCGGGAAATGATTGCCAAATTCGATCCTATTATAGTTAAACATACTAAAAGGGTACAAATGAAGAGCAATAATATGAATCAATATCTTCGCAACCATATTCAAAATGAATTAATGGGCAATAATAATACACCACATTTCAAAACTTCTAATTTCTAAGTAATCATGCCTTAAAGCAATGATATACCTAACACCTCGTTCTGTTAAATCGCTGGTGACTTTGGTAACCTCGTTTCACATGTCATTTTTTTTATTAATGTAAAGTAGAACTCTTGGCCATATTTCATTTTCCATTCCCAATATTTGTGAATTGTGAGGATTTTGTTAGGGGGCCTCATTTTACATCAACATTATTTTTTACATTTGGTCAATATAATTTTTATCCAGTTTTCTGCAATACTTACCTTTGGTCTGGCCTTCCAGTAGACTTTTAAACCTCACTTTAATCAATGATTGTACATTTTAAAAACATCAAACTTTTGAAACAGCAAGTTTTTGAGGTTGAAATTAGTTTCCTGTTTTGTATTGAAACCAGTTCAATTCAAACAAAAAAGGAATAAATAAAAAAGAATAAAGAGATCATACCAAAATTAATTTTTGGTTTTTGTAAACTAATAACTATAATAAAAATTAAAATAACTATAAATTAGAATAAAATAAAATTTTAAAAATAAAAACTGATTAATTTTCATACACAGTATGTCCCCACTTCAGTTCAGCGATGAACATGTGAATCTTTATTTGTTTTTATAATGATCTTCAACGTATTGTTTTAATTAATGACAAAGAAGCCGGCACAAGCCAGACACAATTGTAGCCAAGCTTCACAACTTTTAAATCACAATCTAGTCAGTTAATTTCTTCATTCATATCTATTTCATTTTATTTTAATAAATTTACATGTTTCGTAAAGTAATCGATAAATCAAAGTTGTTACAAATTATAAATATCTGTACAAAGTGTGTGGTCAGTAAATAAATCACAGTGCTTTATTCTTAAGGCACCATTTTCTCTTTTTGGTACTCATTACCACTACAATTGTAATGCTAGTTTTATAGTTTAAAAATAAACTAGAGCTCGTATTTACATTTCTAGTAATATTTTTTAAATACCATTTTACTTACTTTTTATTTGTCAAAACTTCTTCTATGGCAGCAGATACACTTTTTTCAGTTATTTGATTCAACTCAATCAAATAAGCGTAACCAGCCGCTTCAGCTATTTTAGCATTTTTCAGTTGATCCCCAAGCACCGGAATGGCCACTATTGGTATCCCATGGTAGACAGTTTCGATGGAACTCAAAAATCCTCCATGAGTTATGAATAACTTTATATTTGGATGAGCTAAAACCGGAGAATTTTTTATTGGAATACATAGTATTGGAAATGAAATATTTATCACACATTAAACATAAAAAAAAATAATATATGACCATGTAACAAACTATTACACCCAAATCAATAGGCATACATCCCAAAAATATCTACTGATTCAGCTCTTCACCTAGTTGCTAGTCGGATAGAGAAATCCCTTGACAATATGGAGTCCGCATTAAGTGTCTTCATAGACAGAAGGTATTTTTGACAAGACCACTTAGCATAAGATAGCACACTAACTAACCAACAGTAATGTTTTATAGATCGTTAATGAATGGATACATAACATGCTCTAACAGAAAGCAGTCAATATTTTTAAGATCTACCTTGCTTTATTTTTTATAGTTTACCTATTTTTATAATATATTTTATGTATTTTGAATTTAATATTGTCACATTTGACGAATAAAGCTTTTTAAAAATTCGGATCAAATTAAATTTGGATATTTCTATATATCTGGCTATGGTACCTCTAATAGGTTATGGGCTTAGGCACAAAGTATAATTAGAGATAATATAAGGAGAGGTTTAAGAAAATAACATTAATCTTAAAATTTGAAAATGGTTGACAAATAATTTCAAATCGAAGTTCCAAATAGACGTTTCCAAAAATGGAAATATTATATGTGTGTCAAAATTTTCACTCATGGAAAAATATGGCATATACCTACATAGACCTCAATAATCTATTTAAAAATGTTAATAGAGAAGAAAAAAAATCCAAAAGTGGATCCATCAAAAACAGAACCTACTAGTAAAAACTATGAAGTAGTTATGAAAGCCTTCGAAGAAAAATGCATTTATTTTATTTAATGTCGACCCAATAATTACTCCTCAAGTAACATGCATTATTGGTTCTTGGAACATGTGGAAAACCTTGAATAATACTTTTGATATAAGAAATAAGTACTCTTTACATGCCTTAATTAAAACTCTTGTAGGAATCAAATGTGAATCTAAACATGACATTGTAAGTCATATTACTAAATATAATGAACTTTGGTCACGATTAGTTGAAAGAACAGCAAAAACTCCGAATGAAGATGTGTTACTAATTAGAATCAGTCTTTCGTCCTCTAGTTGTTTTAACTAAAGCAAAAGGCTCCTCATTTCTTACCACTTCACCCGATGAATTTAAAACCATCGTTGACAAATTAACGACCAAAGTAAACTTGACTTACAATCATATTTTTATGAGAATATTGGAGTTCCACATCTAATGTTTCTACCGTCACATTCCAAAGTCAATCAAGCTCTTTTGTTGAAGACAAATAAATAAAAATCGAATAAATTAACTTTAAGAGAATGCACTTACTGTAAAGAGAAGGTTTACGCAATACAGTACTGCTGTATTAAGAAAAAAGATTAACAAGAAATCGCCCGACTTGTTGAGGAATCTGAGGAAGATGGCAAAATTACATTTCCAGCAGTTCAATTACCTAACTTAAAAGGAAATGAGTGGATTTTTGACACTGGTGCCACAACACATATGTCTAGAAATGAAAACGTTTTTACTTGCCTACTTCCTTATTCGGGATATATCTGACTAGGAAATGACAAAAAATCCAGGCTACGCACATAGGCAATGTCCAGTTTAATCCATTGATCCCAAATATATCTTCAGTAATGGTAGGTAGCTCTTTATGATGTACTGTTTTTTCAAGAATTGATATATTCGCAAATATCGTGGGAAGTATTAAAAACGAAAGGAATCATTATGAAAGGCACCCTATGAAAAATGTAAAATTAGTTGGATGAGTCATTTAAAAAAATAAGGAAAATATATTTGAAGAGGTTATCTTAGAGTCTACAAATGTATCTTCTGCTGTTTGGCAATGACGTCTGGCACACTTATCTATTAGTTAACTTAAATAATTTAAGAATGTAGCTAATGATTCAGAGGTTCGGTTAAAAGAACGTACAACTGCGATTAATTGTGTAGCGTGTTCAAAATCTAAATTGACTAGAAAAATATCGAGAGAACAAGATACTACCCAGGCAGCACATATTAGTATAACTTACGTATTTTATACGTAATACTCGTTTAATTTTGATATTGGTTGATTCCGTATACGTTTACAGTTTACTATTATTATACATACCGTGTTTTAAACGATATATTATACGTTTTTTATAAACACATCCTATAGTATATAATTGTAAATTTTTCTACGTTTAAATATAGTTAACAATATACGACTATTTTTAGTTTGCGTTAAACTATTTATATACAGTGGGCCTAAATATACCTTTAGGTTTATTTAAATTAAATTCGTATAAATTTACATAACAATACAATATGTGTTCTTCGTTTACAATTCCCGTTTAAATTTCGTCTTGGTTAATTTTTTAAACGTTTACCATCTACCATTTTTATACTTAACGTTTCTTAACAGATAGATTAAACGCTTTTGTTTGCCGATACTAGTTAATATACCTATATTATTCTATGTTTAAATATAAGTCACCTTAAACGCATATTACCAGTTTACGATGAACTAGTAGACATAAGTAAATAATATGTATATTAGGGTGATTCATTTCCGAAAAAAAATTTTTTTTTTCGGTGCTTAAGCAAAATATTAATCTACATATAGAAAAAGAAATTCTCACCAAGTTTGAGCTCTTAATATCAATTTTAAGTACTTACTATTTAAATTCAAAGTTTTACCATTTAAAATGCATGTAAAAAAAATATATTTTTTTAAATTTCTAATGCTGACGCACCTTTTACAATATTGCAAATCGATTTGATGGACCATGGAAATTTCACGCTCTTCGAAATTATATTCATTATGAGTGAGAAATCATAATAATTCTAAAAAAGTTCTTAGTATACGGAAATATAATGGTAATCAATAAAAAAAATTATCTAAATAACATTATGAGTTAGTATTTATCGATTTATTACGTTTTCAGGTATAAAAATGGCTGCAAATTCATTAAATATTGGTCGGATAACTTTTTTTTTATGTGTCAGTCCTTTTTTATCCCTACTTTTGGCGGTTTGCTCGAAAAAATTAAAAAAAAAAATGTTTTTTTGAAAACTGTACGTTGAGGACTTCTACTGGTGAACCAGTGCGAGTTACACAAAAAAACACTAAATCGATTTGCAATATTGTAAAAGGTGCGTCAGCATTAGAAATTTTTTTTACATGCATTTTAAATGGTAAAACTATGAATTTAAATAGTAAGTACTTACAATTGATATTAAGAGCTCAAACTTGGTGAGAATTTTTTTTTCTATATGTAGATTAATATTTTGCTTGAGCACCGAAAAAAAAAAAAAAAAAAAATTGCGGAAATGAATCACCCTAAATGTATATACATATTTAGGTTTATTTAAATTAAAAGCTTATAGATATATTTATTTACATTACATCCATTTTTTTTTTAATTACATTACCTGTAATATTTATAACAAATTCCCCATACACACGGAACTATTTTTAGATGGCGGATGGAGGATGACGTATTAGTGGTACGGTCTAGGTGTAGGGAATGGTTTGTGGCAGCAAGTTCGTCCATTTTCATTTGTGTACATGTTTTGTTGCATTGCATGTTGCTTTGGCGTCCTGGCTTTTACGATATTGATTAAAAGCATAGGTAAGTTTCTATTAATGATTTAGTTTAGCTACTCCTTTAATAATTGTTGCATTTTACAATAACTACTGTTTTATAGTTAGGAACAGTGTGTAAAATGCTTATGGAAACTCCAAAGCATAACCTTACTTTTGTTTGTCTTATTTTTATACGTATTTATCAGGCTACTTATTTTTTTTAGTCAGTTATTTTTTATTTAATAAAATGTCTAAAATAACCCTGTATCGGCGTCATCTACGTAGAAAAATAGCTCAACATGTTCAAGATGCTTTAAAATCAAATAAATTTTTTTTTATTCCCAATGAAGATAACATTAATAAGGCTTCGGACATTAAATATCATCTGATTCTATTATTTATAATAATTTTCAAGAAAATAATACAAATTTAATTCGGAGCTTTTAGAAAATATTTCACCTGAAATTGAGTTACATGGTTATAGGAATGGAGGGTGAACCAAGCGACTTAACCGACCGAACGATTAGGTGTGCCATGCAAGATTGGCTTAAGTTAGCTAAGGCCCGTCTAGGACACAACACATCCAAAGCTAAGATTTTAATTTTCATATATATTTTTTGTTATTTAAAGAAAATTTCCGTTTAGTTTGTTATTCAGTATTTTAGTGTTTATTTTTTAGTACTTATTTATTTTTTAGTATTTTATTGTTTATTTTTAAGTTATTGCATAGCTTTTATCGCGGGCTTTGAGCGCGGCGACCGAATCAAGAAATTTCGTAACGAAAATAAACCTAACACCGTTCCGAAGTCTGCCGAACTGAAACGACGTTAGACGATGCACGGCTTTCAACACCGCACCGCTGTGCCGGTCGGCTACCATAGTCATGGTGGCAATTTACATTTCTTCGAATCCAAAATTGGACGAGGTAGAGCATTTTATTCATCGCATTTTACTGGAGTACACTCAATAAGGGTCGAAAATACAAATGGTAATAAATTCCACTTATCTTGGCTAGCGATTTCCACATCAACTTCGCTGATAAAAAATCAGAGCGGTTGACAACTTTTCTTTCAAAAAAATTGAATTTGAAAATAAAAATGATCCACAAGAATCCACAACAAAATATGGGACCACGCGGTATTTTCCAGATATTTAGAGGATATCAAGTCTCAATTTTATGTTTCTTATTTCAGTTACCATAAACCTATAGTTTCAATGATAAAAATTCCTGAATGACCTACATGTATTGTAAGATAATAAAAATATTTTAAACAATATTAACTTTGTTTTCTTATCGGTTACCACGCTCAAAAAGTGTAACTTGAATTAATATTAAAGAACAAAATTGAATTAATATCAAAGAAAAAAAAATACTGCATAAATAAAATAAATAAATAATTATAATTGCATAAGTGGATATAAAATGCTATGCAATAGCTTTACCGCGGCAGTCCTCGAGTGCCACGGGTATTTTTTTTAATAAAATATTGTTCTGTACATATAACAAGTGATCAAAAAAATTTACTAAATATTTAGGCCAATTACAACTAAAATAGAAACACGAGTAATGCCTATTTCTGGTATACACACCTCCTGTGGATGAAATCCAAACTGTCATTTAGGAAATTTTTGACATTTTTCCATGGCCTCTTTTAAAAATTTGGTTTTGATCACTTTAATTTGTATTTGAAATACATTTAAAACAATATCAGGTAGACGCATTTTACACATTAATAAAAATCATACAAATATATATATAAGATAAATCTAATATAGACGTATAGTAAAACAGGATAATTAAAGGTAGATAAAGTAGTAATGTTAGACGCATAAAAAATAAAAAAAAGATACATTTATAGGGCGGACATTCTCACGTATATATTGGGTAGCATATCAACGGTATTCATACGTATATTGTAGTACATAAAAAAAGTCTTTTATACCAAAGTGGATTCGTATAAATATACTACAACTATAAATCTAATATAGACGTATAGTAAAAACGTTTAATTATAGGTGGATAAATTCTTAGTAATCGACGTTTATATATGACAAATAATATATGTTTATAAGGCGGACATTTTCGCCAATATATTTGGTAGTACATCAACCGTATTCATACGTATGGTAATAGCTGAAAAAATACGTTATTTATACCAAAGTCTGCTGCCTGGGTAGTTGTACATTAATTTCAGAGGAAGTTCATTTTGATATAGTTGGACCTTTTTCTACTGAATCACTTGGTGGTAAATGTTACTATATTTCTTTTACAGATATTCTCGTTAAACAGATATATATTTTTTGAGATATAAATCTGAAGCAGAAAATAAAATAAATGAATACGAAAATAAAATGGAAAGACAGATAGAAAAAGAAATAAAAAAATTAATTTGAAAATTGTGCAGAATATTCTTCTAAGAATATGCAAATATTTTTTAATTCACCAAGAATATGTTACCCCATGCCTTTACCTAGAAAACACCGTATGAATTGTTTCATTAAACAGAAACAAATAGGACATTTTAGAGAATTTTGTCAAAAAGCTTATATATTCATTCATGAGGAGCCGAGAAAGGCAGGAAATAAATTTCATCAAGGAACAACAGAAGGCAATTTACTCGGCTATGAAAAAAAAAACCTAGGTAGTATCGCTTTTGGACAGGGAATAAAGTTATTTTATGTAGAGATTTTAAAGTTGCACCAAAAGAAGATTCTATTTTTATTCCACCTATAACAAAGCGACTAATCAAAACAAGTGTATTGGAAATAAACAGAATATTAAGAAGCATACATTCCATCGCGGATGCTGTAGAAGAAATTTCGGTCTGTGACGTTTCGATCGGTACTAAAGACAATGAACCAGGTGTTGTACATCAAAAACAGCGAAGCGAAGAAAATGCGCTGAATTTTGTATTGTGAGTCCTACTAGGGATATACGATAAAACAAAAACGCGCCGCTTACTCTACATTAAGATGGTATGGAAATGAGTTTATTGGCCAAAACGCGTGTTGAACTACAATTTGCGGCGCTCCTATGCAAAAATTATAGATTTTACAAAAAAAAAAATTGTTACATAAATTGTAGGAAATTTTTTCTAGTTTTATTTTGTATATAAATGTTTTCCAATATGACGGCGCGAGTGACAAAGATGAAAAAGTTGAAATTCGGAAAGAACACATTGAAATCCCTAAAATTACCCATTGTCCGGTAAATTTTCTAGGTAACTTGTTTTTTAGAACCAAATGACTGTATTACTATAGTATCACTTTAGACATCAAGTTAACATGGAATTCACACCCTGGGGCGTCATTCGATATTTTTGATGTCGAATTATGTATTCTTACCTAATATATCAGACTGGGGCAACCATTTCTCTATTCTAACGTTCGTAGGCTTTCCGGGCATGTCATCTATCTCAAATTTCCACAGAATTTTCTCCTTTCTCTTAGAAAAAGCATCCATTAAAGACTTTCTCATTTTAACCGGTAAATCAGACCCCTTTAAATTGGATCCCATGCTGAAATAAATAACTCCATCCTTCGCTTCATCTAAATATTTTTGCAAATCTTCGGGCAGTTTTTTTGGTGGTTTAACATGGAAACCTGCTATTTCTTTAATAACCGGTACGGATCCTTCAGCTTGATTAAGGCTGGTATGAGAATTTGATAAAACCAAGGCAATATTGTATTGATTTTCAGTTAAATCGATTTTCTCAGAAATATATTTGTGTATCAATTCATTGTAACGAGGGTAATCATAGATATGATTTACAAGTTGAGAGAGGACTTTTAAAATTGTATTTATTAATCTTTGTTGAAAGTTCATCTGTTCTGTATATCCTAGTATTAGCTCTGAATTAATTGATGGTAGTGTAGGATTACCTACAAAGTGACCCATCCAAGTATTCATGGCATTATTATTAAGCATTACTAAATGCGCCTTGAAATGGGAGGCTAGACCTTTTAAGGCCTCTAAATTAAACTGAGGTATTATTATAACATCGAATATTTGGTTTGATTTGATGAGCTGTTGCATTTTTGTACTATTCAGGGCTTGTTCGGTTACAAAATAGCATAAATCGGGAAACATGGTGATGAATTTAAAAGGGTTGGAGAAGAAACTTGGATCTGATGCTAGGGTAGTTAGATTTCCTACTTTGGCAAACATTTCTGTAAACAAGTTTAAAAATTAGAATAAAAAACAAGAAACCAATAAGAGGGTGAATCTTAAGTTGATACTTTTTTAAACTATATATAGAAGTCATTAAAATAAACAACTTTTTCAAATAACTGTTTCAAATAACTTTTTCAAATAACTTTTTCAAATAACTTTTTCAAATAACTTTTTCAAATAACTTTTTCAAATAACTTTTTCAAATAACTTTTTCAAATAACTTTTTCAAATAACTTTTTCAAATAACTTTTTCAAATAACTTTTTCAAATAACTTTTTCAAATAACTTTTTCAAATAACTTTTTCAAATAACTTTTTCAAATAACTTTTTCAAATAACTTTTTCAAATAACTTTTTCAAATAACTTTTTCAAATAACTTTTTCAAATAACTTTATCAAATAACTTTTTCAAATAACTTTTTCAAATAACTTTTTCAAATAACTTTTTCAAATAACTTTTTCAAATAACTTTTTCAAATAACTTTTTCAAATAACTTTTTCAAATAACTTTTTCAAATAACTTTTTCAAATAACTTTTTCAAATAACTTTTTCAAATAACTTTTTCAAATAACTTTTTCAAATAACTTTTTCAAATAACTTTTTCAAATAACTTTTTCAAATAACTTTTTCAAATAACTTTTTCAAATAACTTTTTCAAATAACTTTTTCAAATAACTTTTTGAAATAACTTTTTCAAATAACTTTTTCAAATAACTTTTTCAAATAACTTTATCAAATAACTTTATCAAATAACTTTTTCAAATAACTTTTTCAAATAACTTTTTCAAATAACTTTTTCAAATAACTTTTTCAAATAACTTTTTCAAACAACTTTTTCAAATAACTTTTTCAAATAACTTTTTCAAATAACTTTTTCAAATAACTTTTTCAAATAACTTTTTCAAATAACTTTTTCAAATAACTTTTTCAAATAACTTTTTCAAATAACTTTTTCAAATAACTTTTTCAAATAACTTTTTCAAATAACTTTTTCAAATAACTTTTTCAAATAACTTTTTCAAATAACTTTTTCAAATAACTTTTTCAAATAACTTTTTCAAATAACTTTTTCAAATAACTTTTTCAAATAACTTTTTCAAATAACTTTTTCAAATAACTTTTTCAAATAACTTTTTCAAATAACTTTTTCAAATAACTTTTTTCAAATAACTTTTTCAAATAACTTTTTCAAATAACTTTTTCAAATAACTTTTTCAAATAACTTTTTCAAATAACTTTTTCAAATAACTTTATCAAATAACTTTTTTCAAATAACTTTTTCAAATAACTTTTTCAAATAACTTTTTCAAATAACTTTTTCAAATAACTTTTTCAAATAACTTTTTCAAATAACTTTTTCAAATAACTTTTTCAAATAACTTTTTCAAATAACTTTTTCAAATAACTTTTTCAAATAACTTTTTCAAATAACTTTTTCAAATAACTTTTTCAAATAACTTTTTTAAATAACTTTTTCAAATAAAAAACTCAGAAATGAGATAATTACATTAATTTATTCCAAAATGTATTCGATACGGTCCTGTCCAACTTAAATATTGTATTCAAAGTAGTCACCATTCACTTACAGCCGTATGCATAGTCGATCGCCAGCGACTCGCCAGAGATTCATTCCGGCGTTTCGCTGGCGATCCGCCGGCGAAAGCCCAAAAAGGTGGCGTCTCGCCGGAGATTGTCACCGAAATGTCATTTCACGCAAGTTTTTATTTTCTTTTATAGGGATTATCACCGGTATCTCTCGCATTTTATTCATGATTCATTTCTTAAAACTCAAAAAATAATGAACGAATATCAAATTTTTCTCTATAAAAGAACATGAAAACTTGCGTGAAATGACATTCCGGTGACAATCTCCGGCGAGTCGCCAGCTTTTTGGGCTTTCGCCGGCGGATCGCCAGCGAATATAATTTTGTCCTCGAAGACAGATTTATGTAAAGGTGACCGCTTAGGTTAAAATAAAAATTAATGGAAATTAATGAATGATTGATGAACCATATATCTAGCAAAGATTAGTATATTATATTACTAGGAGTAGAAGGCTCTTATTATGTGCTGAGCTCAGCGAAACACATAATAATGAAGCCTTCTTCTCTAAGTAATATATACTATTTTTTCTTCAAGCGTAATGATTATTCAAGTTATACGTAGCAAAAAATAGAAGGCATTGTTTATCTCTCAATTATTTATTGACACAAAAAATAATTTAAAAAAACATATGTTTTACATAAGTATTACATATTCCTATTTATTGATAGTAATATTAAAGGTGCAGTTTTGTATACTACAGTTATTTATATTTATGCCACCGCTTTCGGCCTTGACATTCACAATTTTGTCATTGGTATACATGTTATGATTATAGCCCAATCGGATTAGGTGAAGAACAGGCTTGAGATTCTGAAAAATTCGAAGCAGCAATTTTCCTTCGGAATTCGTTGGAGGGGGTCTCTGGTAGTCTAAATTAAAAAAGTTGGGATTCCAAAGTTGTCGTTACCTCCGCCATCTTGATTTAAAGGGTTATTTTTTGTATCTTGAATAACTCATTTATTTTCAATTTTACACGAAAAATAGTTTTTACAAAAGTTATTTAAAATTAAATTTCCTACAATTCTGCTTTTTTTTTGTACGATCGATTTTTTTCGATTTATACCCGAAAAGAGGGGGTGAATTTTTGGTTATAGAATAACTCGTTTATTTTCAATTTTACGAGAAAAATTGTTATAAACAAAGTTGTTTAAAATTAAATTTCCTACAATTCTGCTTTTTTTTTGTACGATCGATTTTTTTCGATTTATACCCGAAAAGAGGGGGTGAATTTTTGGTTATAGAATAACTCGTTTATTTTCAATTTTACGAGAAAAATTGTTATAAACAAAGTTGTTTAAAATTAAATTTCCTACAATTCTGCTTTTTTTTGTACGATCGATTTTTTTCGATTTATACCCGCAAAGAGGGGGTGAATTTTTGGTTATAGAATAACTCGTTTATTTTCAATTTTACGAGAAAAATTGTTTAAACAAAGTTGTTTAAAATTAAATTTCCTACAATTCTGCATTTTTTTTGGACGATCGATTTTTTTCGATTTATACCCGAAAAGAGGGGGTGAATTTTTGGTTATAGAATAACTCGTTTATTTTCAATTTTACGAGAAAAATTTGTACAAAGTTGTTTAAAATTAAATTTCCTACAATTCTGTTTTTTTTTGTACGCTCGATTTTTTTGTATTTATCCCTGAGAAGAGTGGGGGTAAACTCATAGAAAAAATCGGAATCATAATTGTACCAAATAACATTTTTGAAAATCAGCAAAAAAAAACAAACAGAAAAAATAATGGTACAACATCAATAATAAACGTGACAATACAATACTTAGGTTCACCCCCACTCTTCTCAGGGATAAATACAAAAAAATCGATCGTACAAAAAAAAACAGAATTGTAGGAAATTTAATTTTAAACAACTTTGTTTATAACAATTTTTCTCGTAAAATTGAAAATAAACGAGTTATTCTATAACCAAAAATTCACCCCCTCTTTTCGGGTATAAATAGAAAAAAATCGATCGTACAAAAAAAAAGCAGAATTGTAGGAAATTTAATTTTAAATAACTTTTGTAAAAACTATTTTCCGTGTAAAATTGAAAATAAATGAGTTATTCTATAACCAAAAATTCACCTCCTCTTTTCGGGTATAAATAGAAAAAAATCGATCGTACAAAAAAAAAAGCAGAATTGTAGGAAATTTAATTTTAAATAACTTTTGTAAAAACTATTTTCCGTGTAAAATTGAAAATAAATGAGTTATTCAAGATACAAAAAATAACCCTTTAAATCAAGGTGGCGGAGGTAACGACAACTTTGGAATCCCAACTTTTTGAATTTAGACTACCAGAGACCCCCTTCAACGAATTCCGAAGGAAAATTGCTGCTTCGAATTTTTCAGAATCTAAAATACTAATCCGATTGGGCTATTAGTAAGGTGTCTGCCGACATTTATTATGTTAGAAATATTTTCATTTGAAAGGTTTTCTGAATGTATTTCTCTTTGAATTTCAGAACTTGTACTTGGTTGATCTTGTCAGTGAAGTATTTTTTGTGCCGTTTGTTTCTTACCGGAAATAGAATCATCTATGTAAGCTTCAGCAACACCGGTGGATTTCCATCCACCGTGTCGTTTTAATGCGGTAATGTCCCCACCGTTGTCAACTAAAATAGTTACGGAAGTCCTCCGAAGGCAATGTCCCGAATATTCATGAGAATTTAGTAATTTCAAAAACGTAGCGACGTCATTTGGTACGTTTCAAATTTTATGAATACATATTATCACGCGGTGACATTTACCGTTCTGGTATTTAATAAAAAATAGCTCCAGGTTCATATCCTTCGGACGAAGTGCATTATACTGTTTGATCAAAGTATAGTGAACGGGCGTGTTTTTTTTGTTTTTTGTATTTGAGATATTTATTAGTCTTGGATGTCGCTATACTTCAAATTAAGGAGTTCATTAGATCTACAGGCTCCTGTGACTCTAAATATTAGTACAACCTAAAAAGTCTGCGCTTAGATTCGAACCGCCACACTATGGGCCAGATTCACCTCAAAATAGAATAAGTCCCTATTTTTTTTCCAAACTTAACACTATCGTTACTCGATTCTAATCAAGCAGGCTTTGTTCTTTTAGCTTCCATGGTTACCCGTAGTGATATAGCAAACGTCAAACATACTAAGGAGTTCTGTGTACTTGTCAAAAGTTAAAAGAAAGTTTGTGAAAGTTTAACTACAAAAAACTTAAGTTTCAATTTTTTATTTGATATTAAACATGGCTGAACTATTTGGAGGTAAGTTTAAACCTTTTAAACATAAGGCTTTTATTTAGTTAGATTTAAGTTTGAAAATTATTAATTAAAGAGTTGATGGATTTTAAATATGTATATATTAAACAATTTATCCACTTTTTGATAGCGATATTTTAAGAGATTAGCAGAGCTCCAGTTTGGGGTACATATATTTAATGTCCTTGGACCTTTTACCCCTTTTTGCAATTAAATATTTTTGCCGATACGCGCCGTGCTAGGGCACCTGCCAAATTTTAATCGCTGTGTCTAGGTACACGCCAACGTGTACGCAAATCAAAAATTAGTAATCATTAAACGTGAATAATACATTAATTTAGTTCCCAGTATAATACAACATTCGTATCAAATTGACATTGTTTACAAGAAACCATTTAAGTTGTGCACAAAAGTAGAACGAATAATTTTCAAATTCCATGTTGTTACTTTAACTCTTTTTGAAATAAAAATAGTCACATTTTGCCTAATTAGTTTTTTTAGTAATGCCAATTTGACAGATTTGCTTATTGCTTTAATTTATGAAAAAAAAAAATCTGCCTCATTTGGGATTGTTGATATGTGCAATCATTTGGGTTATTTTTTTTTGTAGTAAGTAGCAAGATAAAACAAAATAGAAAATATGGTCACTTTTAAGAAGAGCCTACATTTTTTAACTCACCCTGTATATAAATACAAGGACAGCATTGTCAGATTGTGTTTTCTAAATTAATACCGTATTAGTATTTTTTCCCTCCAAATAACCAATCAGTATTTTTTCAATATTTTGAGGCGAATCTGGCCCACAGTGCGTCGTGCCGACCTTTGGGGTCAAGGATAGACAGATCCTCTGCTGCTGAGCTATCGCGGCATTTGTATTTTATGTTCGTAATTGTTGTCAAGTTAAAATTAGTAGGTATTTAGAAGGATATTGTCAACAATTTAATAATTATAATAATAATAAATAAAACAAATAATAAAGTACGTACCTTTGTTGCTAAATAAATATCATTCTGTGCATCCTGAAGAAATTTATTAAATTGGTCTTTTGTCAATATTTTTGATTTTTTCGGTCTATAATTTTTCCCTTGTCGCCTCAAAATGCTGTTAATTTGGTATAATTATTCATATTCACATTATGTTTGATATTTAATTCAGTCTTAACCATTGAATATTGTGCCCATAGTGTAGAACTTTTGTATTTTTTTGACATATGCGTGAAGTAAGCAATTCTAACATTTTCCGTTTATTTTTTAACATTATTTTCTTTGGTCCATTTTAAAAATTTTTCATATGCAAATTCATATACTTTGCGCGACTTCGTTGGAATTAGTGTTTTAATACTGGAATTAGCTATTTCTGCTATTTCTGAATGCGTACATTGCAATTTTTGAGACATTTTTCAACAATATTTTCAAAACAGACAAACGTCAAATTAAACAAGTTTAAAAATAACAGTTCCTACCTACTCGATTACAACGTCCCATGCAAGCGTTTCTCATTATTATTTTACTAGTACAATAATGGAAATTAATTTTTGTACTAGTAAAATAATAGGATATTTCTACGGTCTGTGTTGCAAAAAGTAATATAGTTATTATTATACGCTTGAAGAAAAAAGTTCTTTCCTAAGGTATGTTAAAGTATGTTTGTGAAAATAGACAATTGTAGTAACAAAAAAATAATTACCTTTCTGTTTTAATATTATATCATCCATAATAATTTGGTTATACTTTCCATTTTTCGGCAAATTTTTGTCTTCATAAACTGAAATCATAGTAACATCATGTCCAGCTTCCGCCAAGCCTTTTAGTAGTTCATTTCCAAGAAAATAGTGACTTGGGGCATAAAATGGAAAAACACCTAATATTTTGTAACCACTAATATCGGTAACACATAAAAAAACCGTGCACAAAACAAATATTAAATAACTTTTTGTGCACATTTTAATTATTATTAATTATATTATTATGTAGGTATTGTTTTGTTATCGAAACTGCAATGTTTATCCCCAGTATTATGTTTTGTTACTTATCTAAAAATAAGACTTGCCTATCTAAATTTGTATTAATATCAGTGTAAAAATCAGCTCTGATAAAATTATTTTTTATTGCGTTTTGACCTAGACGTAGACAAGTAGATTGGATAAAGAGTAAACAAGCAAATGCACATTTATAATCGGTTCGATAGTCCAGTGAATCTATACAAGGTTAAATTTGAACAACTATATAATTATTAATGTTGATGTTTTACCTATACAGGGTAAGGGTTAAGGTAAAACAAATTGTAATTGGTAATAGGCAGAAAACACGTATATATTAAGTTTGTTCGAGCTGCAGTTTGTAAATTTTTTTGGTAAAATTACGGTGCCTTATGTTTTGATATGGATAATTAGTAACGTTCCGTTTTCTACCATTAATCATTCAAGATTTTGTTACCGGTCTTTTTTTAACGTATGGCTAGTCCAATTTCGATATCCTCAAATGGCAATGACTAATCTAGTACAATTGTACTGGATCTAGTACACCCTAAATGTAACAGGTACGCTAGAAACGAAATTCAGTACATTGTCCGCTATCGTCCAGTGTAATAATTAATATAAGTTAAACTAGTAAAAGTACCGTAAAGACCTAATAAATCCTAAACAATTGATAATATTCCTAAGGCAACCAGAGAGGAAACCGATTCTAGTACATTTTTATGAAATCTGGTACAATTATTATACCAATCTAGTGCTAAACTAAAAAATATTCTAGCAATATTATATTGTCAATTGTCATTGTTGTTTCCTGTATCCTTTATCTTCATGATTCTCGTGACAGTTGTGACCTCGTGAACGTTGTGCTTTTTTAAATTGTACTTTATTTGATAAGATGTTTTAGAAAATGGTAAAAAATAGAATGTGACAAAATAATAAAGTATATTAAACCAAATTTGGTATTTTACAGATGTATTGCATTGTTGAGTTTGAAAAACCGGAAGATGACGGTCTGGCGGTTGTGAGGTGAGCAGAAAATGGTTGACCCCGAGTAAAAACAAGTCTTTTGGCCGCCTTTATAAAGAAATGTAATATAAGACTGGTGAGTAATGTTATACTTTGATTTTTTGATTATAGGTTCTCAGGGGATTTTTTTCAATAGTTTATTTAAAAATGAAATATTTGCAGGGGTCGCTTGATTTAGATACCTTTTATCGTCTCACAGGATATATGATCTTCTTTTATAAACTTTTATTATAAACTCAGACTATATGTATACCTCTGAGAAGGTAGTTTTTGGTGAAATAATCGCCTCAAATTTTATAACTAGATACACAATTTACTTTCTATCTTTAAAAATTTTCAGTGGTCTGTATATTAATAGCTCTTTTATTTTAGATGATAATGATAAGTGATGTACCAAATAAAAAAAGTCGAAGTTACCTCAGATCTACATTCCGAGGCTGATAAAGTAACTACTAAAAAAACAGGTGTCAACTAGAAAGCTGTCATTCGATGATACTGAAGATGATGAAATCGTAAAGCATGCTCGCCCGTCCCCAATTAAAATTAAATCTACAATTTTAGGTATGTTGTGTCAGTTCCTTTAATATTCTTTTGTCATTTTATTCCTTTTGGTTTCTTGCGCATGACTTTTTTATTTACCAGTGTAATTTATTTTTTATAATATATTTTTCATGTGTTTCTTGGATTAAATAAATAACTTTCATCTGCTTAGTATTTTTAATAATTCCATCCAACCTTGGGACACCCAATATAGATGTCACTTTGACGTTAGGTAGATTCGTGATAATGACGTCATTTTGCCTAGCCTAGGACACCAGATATACACGTTACTTTAACATGATATCGATTCGTCAAAATAACGATATGGAACGACGTCATTTCGCTGTGACATTCTCATGTTACCACATGTTATTTTCACGTCATAAAATGACGTAACGCACACCAAAAAATAACGTCCTAATGACGGCATGATGTTGCATGGGATATAGTTACAAAATTTATACTGAGAGTAAATTTCAAAACAAAACTAAAACATCTTTAAATAATAAACTAACGTAACAAAATTATTCTCTATTAGCGAAATGGCGTTGGACAAATTTACCTTCGATAACTTTCCCTCGATCAGTTTTTCTCAATTTTTCAGCATCCAATACTACATTGTTCCAGATATTCACATTAAGTTCATCCTCAAAATCTATTGGATCATGAATGCGATCGATATTGTGTAACCCTGCACATAGAGCTATGATTCTTTCACTTGTTCTTAACTTATTACAGAGACAAGGGAATCTTATTTTTAATACGCCCAAAGTCCTTTTTACTGATACCCTAGTACTAATCAGAGATATATTATATCTTCGTTGAGGTAGTGTTTGAGGGTCTTGAATGTGTGTATAAAGGTATTTGGTCTGCTTGTAGCTACTGTCGCCAAGTAGAAAGGAACTTCTCAAGTCAGTATTTTCAAATCTAATCTTAACACTGCTGTTATCAAAAATTTTAGCATCAAGTGTGGATCCAGGCCAGAAAATAACTATATCGAATATTTTGAGTTCTGGTCCTGTTATCGCTTGGACATTAATTGACATCCAACCTTTTTTATTTCTAAAAACATGTGTGCAATCAATGTATCCCAAAACAGTAAAACCCCAAATTCTAAAAAAAATTTAACTTTACTTGTCTTCGCTCTGCATCTGAACGAGAAAAATAAACTACATTCCTTTTTAATTGTTTTGCATGTATTTCAGAAAGTTCTTTAATTATTCTACAGACGCTGGGTTGGCTGATTTTTAAGAGATCCCCTTATACAGTCTGAAAAATTAGAAAAATTATCTATGATTCCTATGCTGTTGTTAGCTTTATTATACTTAGAATAGATAACCCTCTTTGTGTCACTGTTTTTGTTCGTTAGATTATGTACAATATTTTTTGAAAATTTTAATAAAACAAGCATTTTTATATTTTTCTAGTGGATTGTCGTAATCAGGCATTATACGTGAAATATTTATGAACATACTATTTAACTATATGTGATCCATAAATTCTAAAAAATATTCTTCCAAAAATAAACACATCCATAACGACAAAAATATGGTAGATACATAACAGAAAGGAACATTAAAGGAACCTCTGCAGCTTACTTAATTTTTTAAGGTCAGGACCTTGCCTTATATATTCCTTTGACAGAAAGGAACGTTTGTGAAATACAAAGTCGATCGAGTATCGTGCGTAAAGTCGATCGAGTATCGTGCGTTTAAGGTAACCTTATATTTAAAGGAACCTTCCTTACCTTAATGAAGAAAGGAGCATTTCTGAATTCGACTCTAAGTGTGACATATCATTGAAGAGGTAATTTTATAAGGAATTTGATTATGTAACAGTTTATTACGTAACTTTTGTTTCCATATTTTAAATAATGATACTTCATTTGAAAGTAAAACTCATTTAATAGACAATTCATAAAAAAATAAAAAAAATAATAGAAAAGTGAACATAAAAATTAAATTCAAAACTTTAGAACAACTCCCATAATTAAAAACTAAATTACTTCAAAGTAAATGCTCAAAGTGTTGTACATTAACTTCCATACACGAATATAAATTATTTTCAATGTCTGACGTTTTGGAGCATTTCTAGAGTTATTTGACGACATTCGGTAATAATACGTTCACGTAACTCTTCTACGGAACCTGGCTGAGTAGCGTATATTTTACTATTCAGATATCCCCATAAAAAGTAATCTAAGGGGGACAGATCAGCAGATCGTGGGGGCCATTTAATAAATCCTCTTCGTCCAATCCAATGTCTAGGAAAGTTTTCATTTAAGTACTGACGAACCGCTGCGCGCTGCAGCAAAATGTGGAGGAGCCCCGTCCTGTTGAAATATTAGGTAATCTTCAAGCACTGATCTATATTATTTTACTGGATAGGATATAGGCTATATTTAACATACTAAAAATCCGTTCCACCAAGGAGACCGGAAGTGCAACACTGCTGGCCGATTTGGGCAAATTATGGTGGGATCACATAACTGAATTTTGAGATAATTTGACATACCTAACCTATAATTTGATTAGTTTTCTTCTTATTCTTCTTCTATTCCTTTTGCGGGCAATGTCCTTCGGGACAATTCACCCATAATTTGATTTTTTTATGAAAGAAAATATAAAAATGGAAACGTGAAGCATATGTGTCTTCACGTAACTTGTTGACATAATTATTAAATGACAAATGTGATGACAAATGGAAATAGAGGTTATGTTAAATAACATCCGGTCCGCCATATTAGTTGCCCAAATCGGCCAATTTTTCGGAACGTTTTTTAGAGGGCTATATCCTATCCAGTAAAATAATACAGATCAGTGTCTTCAAGGTATCGGTTATCGTTTTCTATTATGTCTATTTACAGTGGATCAACGGTGTGTTCGAGTAATTCCAAATACATATCCCCAGTTAAAGTACCTGGTAAAAATAATGGACCAACAATACGATCGCCAAATATTCCAGCCCAAACGTTTAACTTTTCTGGGTGTTCAGTATGCGTTTAATGAAATACTCTTGGATTGGAATCTGACCAGTATCGAGAATTATGTCGATTGACAGTCCCGTTAACATAAAAACTGCATTCATCTGAAAAACAAATGTTATAAAGAAAATGTGGATCTTGTATAGCATGCTCGCTCATGATTTCACAAAATTGCATACGGTGATCAAAATCGTCTTCGTTAAGTTCCTGAACTAAATGAATTATATAGGGATGGAATTTATTGGCTTTCAAAATTCTTCTGACGGTACGGTCACTTACTCCAGATAATTCTGCAAGCTTTCTTGTACTAAGAGTTGGAACTGCAACAACTTGTCCTAAAACGGCTACCTCTACGGCTTCGTTTCTTACTGGATTTTGAATCTGCCGTTTTTTATTTTGAACAGATCCTGTTTGTCGAAATTTTGAAATAAGTTCCAAAAGTACTTACGTTTAACCGGTTTGTTTGGGTGTCGCTCATTGAAAATTGTACCTCCAAGAGCCCACTGCAAATTTCGACCGTCATCTGATAACGAAATGAAATATGCTTCAGCGGCATGTAAAAATATTGTACTTTACCAAACGGCACCTGTGCCTATCACTGTCCTGAGCAAAATAGTTAAAACAATGGCACTTCCGGTGTCATAATTAGCGAGAAATGTCGTCATTTGATAACGAGATAAGACTTATGCCATCGGATAGCTATTAATTAATAGAACTTAAAAATGTACCTGTGTCACCTCTTTTCCTGAGCCAAATGCCTGGCACGGCCTATTTATTCAGCCAAAATTCTCGACAAACTTCCGTCATGTGATAACGAGTTGAAATAATATGCATTCGAAGGGGCATAATGTCCTATTCAGGAATATCAGCATGTGCCACTTTTTAACCTGAGCTAAACTGCTGGCACAGCGTTATTTCTGAGACGCGCCTCTCCCAACTAATTTATTTCATATATACAAAAAATCACATAAGCCATGACAATGAAAATTTTTTGTATTGAAAATTACAATCCTAATAATTAATTGTAAACTTATTACTGAAGCCTTGGTTTGTCTTATAATTTTAAAGGCTTTTTAACAGATTTAAAATAATAGGAGGAGATACTCATATCGTTAGAATATTTTATTTTTTTGTATGTTCACTGATAAATCTATACCACGTTGTCCGATTTCTATGATTATTTTTTTGTTAGAAAAGGGGACACCGGGTTAGTCATATATAAAATTGGTCAACATCTGATGAGAGGATACACGAGAAAATAATTAAGTTCTTCAAATAACAAAGAAAGGTTTTTAAAATTACTTTTATTATTATACATGTTTATTATTTAACAGAATATCTGTTCAGGTATTTATTTAGATATATTTTATTACTTTTTATATTTATAAAAAAGTGTAACTACAAATTGAAAATAGAATTCAATACGACGATGATATAGTTATATTTGGAAGTTTTCCAGAAAATGTATTAAAGATATACTTACTAAGGATTGTTAACTTATTTAATTTTAAATACATACATGAAAAAATTAAATTAAATAAATATGTATACACAAACAATTTATCAATGCTAAAATACATTATTATTAAAAAAAATCCCAACAATTTCAACATTTACTCATTATCTGAATCTGAAAAAACATCATTCAAATCATTCAAATAATTTAACTCATTCAACTCGTCGTTATCGACATTATTTTCATTATATTTTAAGACATCATCGACTTTCAATGGCTTTGGGTCTCCCTTGAACCACACTGGTTCCAAACGTTCATTTAGCTCCCAATCGCATTCTTCTGAATTTTTTCAACATTTAATTTAGAACAATTTGCATTTGCAGTGTTTTGTCACCTTTAATTGACGTACACTGTACGCAAGATCTTTTGTTCCATAGTTCTTCAACATGGAAATTCTTGAAAAATCTACAATAAAATTAAAAGCGATCAAATTTATTATGAGTTTAAAAGACCCATCGATGTTTTTGAAATCTAGTTCATCTATTTTAATGTTATCTAGATATATCTCTGTTATCTTCTAGATACTATTTACTTTTTAGTTTGTTCCTATTTTTTACGATTGTTTATTTATATCAAAGTTTTTTAAGTTGAATTACCGTTAGAGTATTTTGTAAACTTACTGAGTTTTTTACATTTTGATAGTTTTAGAAAAAAAGTTTCTTGTGTATTAATTTGCTTATTATTTTTCCTATTTATTACCTTCCTGTCCACTGTATTACAAACAGTTCATTGAGTTACCTTATTTAATAATGTCTGTAAAATAAAATTAATTAACTAGAAATAATAAAACGCACTTGGATATTTTTAATAGCATTAAGAATAATGTCCTAAAATTATTATATGTAAAATATTTACACTAATGGTTCCATTTTAAACAAATATAAACTTTATTTTTGAGAAAACGTAACAAAGTAGACATAAATCTGTCACTATATCATTTTATTACTTTTAATCACCATGGATTATTATCGGTGTCTTGATCAAAACTTAAAATATGTACTATTTGTCTTAGACTCAGTAGATATTTTTGACGAGTTTCATAAAAGCAGGATTTATTTTTGTACGCATTGACAAAAATTCCAAAAAAACTCATTTAAAAATCACGATATAACTTTACATCTTTGTATTTGAATTTTTTATTTGACGAAAATGTAACATATTTAAACATTTTTTGAGTACATCGTTAAAGGGAAACACTTTTTTCCCTTCTACATCGCATAAAAAACATCTATCCATGAATAATAAGAACTATTAACAAAATGAATCAATTAATTTTTGGTAATTTCAAAATTTATTTGTTTACTTAATATTGTGATTCATTTTTACAGGTTGTCATAAAAACGTCAAAAAACCTGCCAACTATGATTATAGTTTAAAAGATAAAATTTAATATTTCAGGTATAAAAATTAATGCTGTACCTATTTAATTCAATTTTACAATAGTTTACTTGTTTAGGCGGATAGAAATAGTAATCAAATTTATTTAAATAAATACCTATTAAGGTATTTTGGTAACTAATAAACCTGTATATTGATAATAACAAGTTATAAAAGTAATTTTAAAAAACAAACTCCTAAATCGTACATTTGCTTTTGCAAATTAAAGAGTTTGATAATTTTCTCGTGTATCCCATCATCAGACCTTGACCAAATTTATTTGTGACCACCACTGAGGTACCCTCTTTCTAACAAAAAAAGAATCATGGAAATCAAACAACGTGGTATTATAGAATTATCGCTGAACGTACATAAAAAAATTACATTCCGACGATTTGAGAACCTTCTTATTTTTAAATCTGTAAAAAAAGTATATAAAATTGGAATACAAATCGAGAATTCACTAATAGGTTCAAAATTATTAGAATTGTAATTTTCAATATAAATAATTTTCGTTGTCATGGCTTACGTGATTTTTTGTATATATGAAATAAATTAGTTGGGCGAGGCGCGTCTCAGAAATTACGCTGTGCCAGCAACTTAGCTCAGGTTAAAACGTGGCACATGCGGATATTCCTGAATGGGACATTATGCCCATTCGAATACATATTGTTTTAACTCGTTATCACATGACGGAAGTTTGTCGAGAATTTTGGCTGAATAAATAGGCCGTGCTAAGCATTTGGCTCAGGAAAAGAGGTGGCACAGGTACATTTTTAAGTTCTATTAACCAATAGCTATCAGATGGCATAAGTCTTATCTCGTTATCAAATGACGACATTTCTCGCTAATTATGACACCGGAAGTGCCATTGTTTTAACTATTTTGCTCAGGATAGTGATAGGCACAGGTGCCGTTTGGTAAAGTACAATATTTTTACATGCCTCTGAAGCATATTTCATTTCGTTATCAGATGACGGTCGAAATTTGCAGTGGGCTCTCCTACTAAGGCAGTGTTAGCACATTCGTTATTTTTTAAATAACATTCAACAATTTCTACTCTCTCCTGAATAGAATAAACCATTTTTATGTTTTACTCGCTAATAGACTTGAAGTATCAATGACGCTAAACTAAAAACAGACCTGGTAGTTATGGAAATAAAAACCTTTATTTATTTTACGAAAACATAGGCGTAGTAAGTTCAATTTTATTCCAAATGTAATTATGCATTAAATTTTTAAATTTGGCTTTTACATGACAATACGCTTATTTGAGCTGTCACATGTCACACAGTCAAATTCCTTATAAAATTACCTTTTCAATCATGTGTCATACTTGGTACTTTCCCTATTTCAATTTCATTGTGACAGAGGGGTGGGGAGAGATGTAGGATAGTTGAGGATATGATCAAAAGATGTTCCCTTTGAAATAAAAATCAACCTCTTTTTGCATTTTCTCAAAAAAAATGTGTCTTCAAGATATGCGATCTGTTTCGTTTTCGGTGCCTCCCCTGTATATGGAAACAACTACACTAACATATTAAGACAAAATATTTTTAACTTTATTAAATACCATATTTACAATTTATTGCTATTTTACCTTTTCGGTATTTCCATCGCTTCTTCCTATACATAAGTTTAATATTATTATATTACAAACAATCTTTTTTACTCTTCTTTATTGCTTTTTTATCTTTTCGGCTTTTTCATCGATTTTTTTTATACGTAAATCTAATATGCTACAAACAATCTTCTTAACAATATACAACAGTACGAAAATCACAGCCAAAATAGTTGCGATTACATCCACCATTATGAATTCGTACCACGATAATTTCAAGTAATTTACCCTTAAATGTTGAGCCCCATTATGTCTGACGATATATTCTACCCAATACACAGCATCATCTAGGGGTTTTACAGGTCTATCGTGAAAAATTTTAGACCTGTGTCTTACGTTTTCGCGGTATCTAAAAAATAATACAAAAATAAGTCTTTAAAACTGATCATTCATCGTTTAAATTTTTTTTAAAGGAAATAATTCAAACTAAAATGATAGGTCACTTTAAAAAAATGCAGTCAAATTATTTTATTTTAGATATGTTATAGGGTTTATCATACACAAAAGTGTCAACGGGCCATACTTCATCTTATGATGAACATAGCAAAAAGGACAAAGTTAAAGGCCATTTAAATATGCCGCCAAGGATGAAATGTTGGTAGTCCTGCAGAAACTGAGGTGAGCAGGGAGTGATGCCGAGTTGAAGAGTCTTGCAGAAGTTGTCCTGGTAGCAATACCCCTTTGACCTTTTATTGTACATATCACGTTGTTTACAATTAATCAACTGTTTTTACGGCCCTTCGAGTTTTTACTACGGTTTGATCGTAACAGACGAGATAATCTAGGCGAAGATAATGATAATTGTCAGGATGCAAATGGGGCCGGAATTCGCGAAATTCTTTCGGAAGTCTCGTAATTCCCTCGGATATTGAATTAGCCCAATGATAATAAAGTTATTGACATTTAAAGAATAAGGTGTATTATATTTCGAGGAGAATAAACATGATGAACTTCCCTTACACAGAATGTGTATCGAAGTTAATAATAATACTGAAGGAATTGATCCATTCGTATGTTCATTAAATCAGTTTAAGAATATAATTAAAATGTCTATACCTTATTACATATTTTTATTAAATTTAGATCAATTTCAATCTTCTATTTAGCCTTAATAATATTTAAGCTCTCCTATAATTGGGTATACCCCTTGTAGACTGATAGAAGTTAAAATTTCTAGTTAGATATTTTTGGTACTATTTACTTACTTTTTATTTGTCAAAACTTCTTCTATTGCAGTAGATATAGTCCTTTCACTAAGTTGATGTAATTCAATTATATAAGTGTAACCAGCAGCTTCAGCTTTTTTGGCATTTATTAATTGATCTCCAAAAGCTGGAATAGCTACTGTTGGCATTCCATGGTACACAGTTTCGATGGAACTCAAAAATCCTCCATGAGTTATGAACAGTTTTACATTTGGATGTGCTAAAAACATTCATATTTTACTATTTTCGCTTAAGTCTTGATGCATAAATTATCCCTCCTTGATTTTCGCTTTGGTACCAACGCAATTTAATGATTTAGTGATTTAAAAATTTAGTTATGTAGTGATTTGGTGATTTATTGACTAAGTGATTAAATTATTTAGTTATTCTGTGATTTTGTGAGTTGGAGATTTGAAAATTTGGCGATTTGGTGATATGGTAATTTAGTGATTTGGTAAGTTGGAGATTTGAAAATTTGGCGTTTTGACGATTTAGTGAGTTGGAGATTTGAAAATTTGGCGATTTAGTGGTTAGGTGATTTAGTGATTTAGTGATTTAGTGATTTAGTGATTTAGTGATTTAGTGATTTAGTGATTTAGTGATTTAGTGATTTAGTGATTTAGTGATTTAGTGATTTAGTGATTTAGTGATTTAGTGATTTAGTGATTTAGTGATTTAGTGATTTAGTGATTTAGTGATTTAGTGATTTAGTGATTTAGTGATTTAGTGATTTAGTGATTTAGTGATTTAGTGATTTAGTGATTTAGTGATTTAGTGATTTAGTGATTTAGTGATTTAGTGATTTAGTGATTTAGTGATTTAGTGATTTAGTGATTTAGTGATTTAGTGATTTAGTGATTTAGTGATTTAGTGATTTAGTGATTTAGTGATTTAGTGATTTAGTGATTTAGTGATTTAGTGATTTAGTGATTTAGTGATTTAGTGATTTAGTGATTTAGTGATTTAATGATTTAGTGATTTAGTGATTTAGTGATTTAGTGATTTAGTGATTTAGTAGTAAAATAATGGTAATTTCTGTCTTGTTACTCCTTTTAATATTTATTGATATTTATATAATTTTGCTTTACTTAATAAAAATTATTCGGAATACTGTTGATTCATTAGGGAACAATATAAAACTCTTAGTTGATTTTGAAAAAAGGATATAGAAGCTATGACAGATAATCATGGTTTCATTTTTCTTTAACCAGCAAAGGATCCCACAGTTTCCTTATGGTAAATGACAATCTGAATCCTTGCAATAAATAAGGACTTAAATATGATTAGTCCAAGAGTTTTTTGAAGAGAAAACCGGACCTCTTTCAAAAGTAAAAGTATTTTAAGGATTTTCTATATAAAATTCTATTAATATGCCTGGGAGTACTTCGCGATATTATGTGTCTGGACAATATTGAGAGCTTTAAAACTGTGCAACGATACTGCAGCCACTCTACAAAGACGTTTAAGAAAAAAAGGTGAGACATCCTCCCATTTAAAAAGTATTTAATATACATTAAAACCAAAAGCAAAAAATTTTCATAGATTTAATACAGAGTGGCGCGTAAATGTTTTTTAATAAATACGTTTCGAAGGTTTACAAAAGATTCAAGGTTTATCCACCCTAAGCTTTATTATTATTGGTATTTCCTGAAAATTTCACAAAAATCTGACCAAAAATAAAAGTTCAAAAGGAATTATAAATTTTCAAGATGTTCGGTTTGCTCTTAAAATACAATATGAAATACTGTTTAACCCAAGAACATTTACATATCCCCTAAAATGTTAAAAATAAACACATATCAGCAATACCAACATATTTATTTTTGTTGAAATGACGTTTATTAAATAAGATTTAAAGTTAACTTAATATAATAGCTTCCTTAAATCCGCCTTTAGGGCCCTATTATGCAATCGGTTCTTAAATGGCGTAAATAAGCTTTGACTAGTCAAAAACTGACAAAACTGCGAGTCAAATCTTTAAAAACGTGTTATCTGATAAAAGTTTTAATGGTAATAATTCACATAGTAGTTTAAATGAATTTGTTTAAACTTGAAAATAAGAAAGGATTTGGTCGTTTGCGAAACCACTATTTTTGGGGTATAATTTTCGTTTTCATATAAATTTCTTTGCAAGTGTCAAATAAAATTTTTTAATTTAAGTTAGCCCGTCCCTGATAAAGACTTAACCAATTAATTGCGAGCTGAAAAATAACCAATACCCACAGATGTGGTAAAAGTTAATAAATAGTTATCTTACCTAAAATATCCGATTGGGGCAACCATTTCTCTATTCTAACATTTTTGGGTTTTCCGGGCATGTCGTCGGTCTCAAATTTCCATAGAATGTTCTCCTTTCTCTTGGAAAAGGCATTCATTAAAGCCTTTCTTGTATTATTTGGTAAATCTATTCCTTTTAAATTGGACCCCATGCTGAAATAAATCACTCCATCTTTTGCTTCATCTAAATATTTTTGCAAATCATCAGGCAGTTTCTTTGGTGGCCTAACATGGAATCCTGCTATTTCTTTTATAACAGGTACGGATGCTTCAGCTAGATTAAGGCTGGTATGAGAATTTGATAAAACTAAGGCAGCATTGTATTGAATATCAGTTAAATCGATGTCTTTAGAAATATATTTGTGTACCAATTCTTTATGTCTGGGGTAATCATAGATAAGAACTCCAATCCGTGTTACCACATTCAAAATTGTATTTAATAATCTTTGTTGAAAGTTCATCTGTTCTGTATAACCCAGTAGCATTTCTGAATTAATTGAAGGTAAATTAGGAACACCTACAAAGTGGCCCATTTGAGTAATCATAGCATTATTATTAAAAAGTACTAAATGCGCCTTGAAATGGGGTGCTAGACCCTTTAACGCCTCTAAAGAAAACTGAGGTAACAATAAAACATCAAATGTTTGGTTTGATTTGATGAGCTCTTGCATTTTTCTATTCTTTAGGGTTTGTTCCGTTATATCGTAGCACACGTTGATAAAATTGCTGAGGAAAGACAAAGGATTGGAGAAGACACTTCCTTGTGAGATTATTGTACTTACATTTGCGATTTTGTTCAACAATTCTGTAAATAAAATGAACAAATTAAAATTAAGTAAGTTGTTATCACTAAAGTGTAATTGTTCCTGGAACGCTAATACCAGTCATGTTCGCGAAAATTTTAAGCCATCCATGCAGAGTCGAATGAAGGATATTTATGTTGAAAGTGATGTAACGCCGGATTTCTGCACAAGCGTATGTTTTACATGGTAGCCATGATGTTGGTTGTCAAGAACAGAGAGAACGTTAGTTAACAAGCCAAACACCAACTTTAACGTTTTCTTGGTGGTTCTCTTAAAATAAATATTAATTTATAAAGGACTCCGCATCAAATACATGTGCAAGTTTAAATCAGTTTCTATGTCTAATTTCGGATACATGAATTTTTGAAAATCATAAAAATGGCTATTTTTTTTAAAACGTGGTAAGGTTCACTTATCAAAAAGTATTACTTTTTAGATAAATAGAAACAAAATAATAGCATTGCTGGTTTAAAGGAAGTCTGCTAACATGTCAGTTAGTCAGTGGTTCACAGAGAGAAATTCATGCTCATTTTAAGCCCAAAATAAGCATTTTCGGGCTTGTTTTTGAGCCAAGCATGCCACAATCTTTATTTAAGAAATTTTTAAGTACGCATGTTAAAAAATTGTTGATTTTTTTTTTAAAATTAACAACGTTGGTGCAAATTTTATAGCTTTTGATTTAAAAATTAAATACGGCATTGTTAGTTTAAGAATGCCAGAATATATTACTTCAATTAAGAATTAGAGTCATGCTGAATTTAAAATACGCATTCTTGGTTACAATCTTAGTCAAATTTTTCTCTGTGTTAAGACAAAAGAAGCCGTCTATTATATTTCGCCTATTTTTATCATAGGTCCCAATTAGTGGAACTGGCTTTTTTCATTAAAATATCTTTATTAGGACTCTTTTCTTATAAGAATAATTTTCTTTAAAAGTTTTGTTGATTTTTCTCAAACATTATTTTTTAAAAAAATGTTTCTTTTTTAAACTGTGTTTACATTAGTCATTAGTCTTTTTAAGAAAATAAATCCGCTTTGGAGTCAAACTACTTAATATAATTAACTAAAAAAATCACATTTTTGTATATTATTTTCAATATTTATATTTCAAAAACCAGACATTGGAACTTAATGAAACTTTCACGAGTATAAGGTAATTTACTTTCAAGTATAACTGAAAAATGTGATTCAGATTCATATTGAGAGCTCCATTCAAGAATAATTAGCAAATATATACAGGGTGTCCCAAAATTCCGTGTACATAGAGCTACTGTATCTTGAGATCAAAATAAGTCGATTGAGCTAAAATTACTTATATCACAAAGTGCTTCATTTGCCTGTGACTCTGTGAGGAAGCTTCAAAGTTGATTGTTTGATTTTTATAAAATTTGTTATTATAATTGAAGAGCCATTGTTCAAAGCACAAATTACAGCAACTGAAATTATGGAAGGGTAACATTTTTTTATGGAAAGTTGTATTCATTTGTAGCATTTCTTGTCTCTTGCAAAATACATGTATCTCTCATGGTATTTGAGTAACAAAAAATTTATGGAATGATAACACCGGCACACAAAAAGAAGTAGTCAGTACTTTTGACCAGATCCACCTAAGGTTATGTATTTCGATGCACTGAATTCGAATTTGAAGTTTTTTTAAATTTACTCAAAGTTTTGGAGGTGTATGGGTTAAACCGACCTTAAATTCGGATTCAGCGCATCGAAATACATAGCATTAAGTCGGTCTGGTTAAAAGTACTGACCACTTTTTTTTGTCCGGGTGTAATTAGTGACTTAAAATTTTCAAGAAAACTAAGTTGGCGGATAAAACTTACGCAACCCGAACACTGTCGCTTTTAACGTTATTACAATAAAAAAAAATCATCAATAGGCATAGGTATCAACTGAAAAATAACAATTCAAACAGATGGTTAGAGATTACAAAGATTCAAGAAAACTAAGTTGGCGGTTGTCTACGTTACTTATAAAAAATTTGATAATTTTGACAGATATGGTGTAGAACTGTAAAAATTGTTGATACAGAGACTGGGGAGGGTTGAGCCAGAGGGATGTTTGAGACATAAATATTGCATTGGTAACGTATCCTTAAATAAATTTACTTTTTCGTTCAGTGGATGCTTTTTCATTGCTTCTTTCCCATTATCTAAGTTCAACAACAAATCGAAGTCGTTTACGAAAGTTATAGTGAAAAGTTGTTTTTAAGTAAACAATGTAAGTTTTTTAACAAAATGTATAAGGATTCTTTATTCACTTTATTATATTTGGAAATATATGAATGAATTACAGGAATAACATACTTATTCAACATACTTTCATGTATTAAATTATTTGTTAGATTATGATTTGCAAATCGTAAATGGTTGTGGTTACTAGTTCGAGGGGAGGGATAAACAGATTTGATGTGAGAGGTTTGAGACATGGATCAAACCTCCCATCATGATTACAAAATACCTGTACTTAATTTCCAGTATTTTTTTCTTTCTTTTTAAGATTAATCTTTAGCTTCTTCTGCAAAAATCTTTACTGCAGCATCTACAATAATAATTTTTTTGCAGATGCCTTTTAAATGGAAATTGAAAGACCATCTGCCTACTGATCCTGAAATTTTGGAAATTGCAGTACGGGAAATATGTAGTACTAATGGTAAAATCCGCACAGTCGCCAAAAAATATAATATTGATAGAACGACACTATCTAGATACGTAAATAAATTTAAATCAAATGAACTTGTATCTTTTGTAGCAAACTTTAATTCTTCGCAAATTTTTACCAATCAAGAAGAATATTTGCTAGTTCAATACTCCAATCGCAGTAATAAAGTTTGCTTACATCTTTGAAACTAAAAATAAAAAAAAAAACATTTCAGCAGCTTGTGAAAAAATAGAGCAGCAACGTGTGGTTGGTTAAGAGGTTTTATGTCAAGACATAATAACTTATCACTTAGGACACCAGCAGCCACGAGTGTAGGACGTGCCACTGCATTTAATAAATATACCGTGCAGTTATTTTTTGACCATTTAAAGACCATCATGACAAGGGAACAGACTACACCTGATTGCATATATAATGAAGATTAAACGAGAGTTACAATATTATATAAGTCGCAAAAAATAATTGCAAAGAAAGGGCAGAAGCAGATGTTAAAGGCAAAATCGTGTGAAAGAGGATCACTGGTAACAGTTTTATGCACTATAAGTGGGTCTGGTAACACTATTCCCCCATTTTTAATTTTTCCGAGGGTTAGGATCCAGGATTATATGACAAGAGGACTTCACATTGGTGCCAATGCGGCTGTTAATCCATCAGATTAGATGATCCACGAGAATTTTGAAAAATATTTACTGCACTTCATCAACTATTCCCGAGTCAACGAGAATCACAAGTGTCTGCTGATACTAGACAACCATGGTAGCCATATTTCTTCAAAAGGGCCTAACATTTGTAAAGAAAATTGAATAATACTACTCACTATTCCACCTCATACTAGTCATAAGTTACAGCCATTGGACACCAACGTTTTCGGGCCTTTTAAAAGGTTTTATAATGAAGCGGCACATAACTGGATGGTCAACAATCCTGCACAGCTGATATCCTTAAAAGAAATACCTGAACTTGTGGGAAGTGCTTACGTTCGCGCTTTTACGCCAGCCAATATAATAGGTGGATTTCACATACTGGTATTTTTCCATATAATCCAGATGTATTTTCAGATAGTGATTTTACCATTACGGAAATTACAGACCGGCCAGATTCATCTGAAACTTTACAGACTACAGAAAATTTACTTTTAGCTATCCCTAGTACCCAAAATATTCCAAATGCATTTGTAAGCCCTGAAGTTATAAGGCCATTTCCGAAAGCTCTTCCACGTAAAAAGAAAGCTGTAAGGAAATGTGGGAAAACACGGATTTTAACGGACACCCCCGAAAAAGACCATATACAAAAAGAATTTGAGGAAAGAGCAAAGCAAAAGAAAGAACAAAATAAAAAAAAGGAAGTAAGGGTAAAAAGATTAAAAAAGAAGATGAAAAATAGGTGCCCGTTAAACAAAATAAGATTGAGATAGTCATGGAGGAATCTGAACAATCTAATGATTCTTTCAACTTTTCGAGTTCTGATGAGTTAACCGATATTGAGGAACAGATTGAAAAAGAAAATGCTGAAGAAAGCTTTATGAATTAAGAAGTTTGTAAGGATGACTATGTTTTTGTAAGATTTCCTACCAAAAAGACTTTCCGACATTACGTTGCTAAAGTCATAAATATTAATGGTAACCATTACGACTTATTAAGCATGAGACTAAAGCCTTCACGATACAAATTTATTTTTCCCGATGTTGCCGGTGAATGTTGCGCACCTTGGGACGATCTGGTTAAGTTACCAAACCCCACCTTTACTGGAGGAACAGCAAGAACACATAGGACCTTTACTTTTCCAGTCGATTTTTCCAAATATGAAAAAATTTATTCTAGGTTTTTTGGCAAATATTTTTATGATTGCTGTATTCTTTTATTTTTTTGAAGTAAATATGTGTATTTTTTTGTTAATTATTATTATTGCAGGAAAGGGTTAAACAATTTGTTAACTGTCTTTAATAAATTTGCCTTAACTCGTGACTTTATCGTTACCTACTATTCTTGTCTCAAGCCTCCCTACGCTTGCCTCAAACCTCCCTTTGTTTGTCTCAAGCCTCCCTTCATAAAGGAGGTTTGGTACTTCAATCAATTATTTTTTGCCTAAATAACAGTTTTTAAAATAATCTTGCTATTGTGTTAAAAAATTAAAACCAATAGTTAATCACTATATAAAAAACTTTATGCGATTACTAAAAAAAATGTTGGACGACCTTCTCAAGCCAGAACTTCTGTTGCAAAAGTTGAAATAGTTGAAAATAATCTCGAAATTAGTACTAAACGACTGGCACGCCAAACTAGGGTTTCAAAAAACACACAACAGAATAATTAGAGAACAACTTATTTATTCC